CTTTTTCGTCCATGTGCTGGCACGAAGTCTGGCGTCAGAGCTCCATAGTAAAGGACAACGGTCTTGATATGTGAAGCCGCTGCTGGATCGTATATGCTGTCCAGCAACACGGTGAAAAGCTGACCAAGCCGATGATGCTTAGTTGGTCTTTTTGGATGATCAGCCACATCTGAGACACGGCCCAGACTCCTGAGAAAGTCCTATCTGTAGCAAGAGCTGCGGCGCAAGAGCCGGGTTCCCGACCGAAGGTGCCGAGCATATGGTCGGTTTATCTGGATGATACTGATTGCATATTCACCGGCCCTGAAGGCACCCTTGTCGGTGGTGAGTGAGGTTCAAAATGGGCTTCCCATTCGGGTTCTAGTTCTAATTTGGGTTTTTTTCGTACCATATTTTGATCTGCCTCGACGTCGATTAGGAATTCCTTGTAAGTCTTTCACTCCTCTACTAATTTTTTTTTTTTTAATGGCAAGCCTATCTTTGGCTCTTTTAAAAAAGAGTAGAACGACTGGCGCATACGAATCCTCAAGCTGGGCTGCTTGCCATAGCCAGGCAGAGCGCCCAGCTCTCTTCCTTCCTCCCAGGCAGTGTCTGAGAACCAGCGCCCGCTCAAGCAGCATGACGCCCAAACTTGCATACCGCAAATGAGGTAGAGCTCAGCGCTCTACCTGGAGATATAGCGGCCTACTTGCCTCTTGGGCGGTGACTTCCAGGCCGTGCGGCCTCCAAGCAACCAGTACCTCCTCCCTTTCGGAGGGAAACATCAATGCAGGTTCTGTTATCGTCCACACAGGCCCTAGACTCAGGCTACTTGGACTGGTACCCACCTACCTCTAGTCTACCACGATGGGGCCTCTAAAAAATGCCAACTTTTGTCTTCTTCTGCTGGGCCTCCAGTTCCTGACACATCCACCGCCGCTTGAGTGGTACCGGCCTACCTGCTACTTGAGTGTTTTTCCCTTGCTTCCCTAAGTGTCGCGGGCCTACTGTGGCATACTGCGCATCCACACGGGCCTGCAAGGCCCGACCAAACAAGGAAAAGTAAGGGCCCTACAGGCCCTGTGGGCCTGTGTCGTTTTCAGCCTGAAAGCCTGAAAACAAGGGCCTACAGGCCCTGTGTCGTTTCAGTCTGAAAGCCTGAAAACGAGGGCCTACAGGCCCTGTGTCGTTTCAGCCTAAAAGCCTGAAAACGAGAGCCATTTTTAGGCCCTCATAAAGTCGACCTGCCCTGAAACTTAAGCACCAGACCAGGGTTTTAGCACAGGCCATTTTGGGCCTGTTTTCAAGACAACCTTTGTTTGAACTTCAACGCCAGGGTCTGGCACGTTTTGGCATTAGCAAGAGCAGCCTCCTGGACGGGCCAGCACTATATAAGACTGGGCCGCCCTACAGGCTGCAGGGAGTCACAAGGTAGTTCATAGGGACTTCCCAGGCACTTCACGTGCAGGAGGCAGGAGGCAGTCTTCAGGATTCGGCAGCAGCACTCTGGAGGAGCGCTGCAGTAGTAGTAATAGCGTTAGCCGTAGTCTTCAGCGCTGGGCGCTATTCGGAGCTAGAGTAGCGTTGGAAAGAGAGAGATGGTTGGCGGAGACCAGGGAGACTTACCTGTGGCGCCATAGCTCCAGCTTCGTCTTCGATGTACCTGCAACAAGGCGCCACCTTCACAGGTTAGTACCGGACTGAGAGAGAGAGAGAGAGAGAGAGTTCTTCTTCTTCCTCTTCTAAGTCCACCATCTCTCCCTCACCCTCTCGCTACCTAACTTCTCAGTACCTGCAGACTACGGGACAGAGAGAGATTGGTGACTTTCGGACTTGACGACATTTGGATCCAGACTTCACATTGGGATTGAGACATTGAACGAGGGATTATTTGGGACCTGTACCGAAGACTTGGTGTTGATGACATTCCCATCTTCCCCCCTTCTTCGTCTAACCCCCCTCTTCTTCGTCTGTGTATGGTTTGGGACTGGCGCATTCTTCCTGTGTGAGCACCAGGCCCTTCACACCTTGGAATGATGATGATGTGTGTTTGGTCTGCTTTGCAACATTGATTGTTCAGATCATTGGTATATTAGCCTTCCGCTGCGCTATCCTGTACTATGTGAGAGAGGTCGGTTCTTGTTCTGGTCTGCACCTTTACGGTATGCGACACCTACTCCCCGCTACTTGAGTGTTTTCCCCGCTGCAACCCTCAAAGTCACGGCCACAGGTGGGTACGGCCCCGCGGCCCTCACAACACACAAGTGCCCTGATGGGCCACACACGCACTCAGGCAGGCGTGCACTAAGACAGGCACACGAACCAGCAAGCACGCACACACACACAGACTTAGAAAACCCAGCAGAACGCAGGAACCGCCGCAAGGCATACATTCCAGCCGCAAAACCCAGATATCAGCAGTGTTCTCAGTCTGTGTTTTGGCGGGTCATTACAGCCACCGGCACCCACTTCCCTTCAAACTTCCCCCCCTCGCGTTGCCTGCCATAGCTTTCACACTTCTCGCCATCACATCGCCTATCCGCCCGCCCATTCCTGCGTCGTTCACTCAGTCACGTTGTGAGCCATTATTCCATCTCGATTCCCACCTGCGCGTCGCATGTACTCTGCGTCGTTTCATCTGCTCGTGCGGGGTGCAGCGCTCCTGGTCATGCTGTGCCCCCCCGCAACTATCTCACCAGACTCCAGTCCTAACATGCACTTGCTGAAAAATCCCTAATCCGGTCCATACAAGATTGGAGACCTACCCCTACTCAGACCTGTTTGTTTTTTTTTTCGTTTTCTTTTTTTTAATAGTGATGCTCAGGCGGGTGTGCCCTTGGCAGAACCCTTGGGCACCACGTGTGTTCAAGGTATCGATGGCTCACTGACTTAAAAAAAAAAAAAAAAAATCACATTGAGTATCGCATTTCGTTCAACTCTGCATTGTGATGAGCGCCAAGATATTTGTTTGCCGAGAGACTCGGCGAGAGACCGTTTCTCGATTTCTGCATGTCATCCTTGTGCAGGGGCCATGCTAATTTTCTCTGTATCACAGCAGTACTATCGCTCCAATTTAAAGTTTTAACGGAGACCTGTTAGTAGAAACACACACTTAGAGGAAGAAGGGAGAAGGAGGGGAGAGAAGAAAAACAGGAGAAGAGGAAGTGGCCAGGTAGGAGAGGTATAAAAGGAGGAAAGGCTACAGAGGGTATCGTGGATCACGGGCAGGACGGTTAAGTGGGAGTACAAAGGCTAGCTTGGACAAATGAGGGAACTCTTTCTAGGTGGCAGTGATTTATCTGACAGATCTGGTTATCTGATCTGAGAGGAAAGAGTGAGGCACGGCAAGCTGACAGTCAATCCTCCATCAAGGTGGAGCAATCAATGCTGATCAGGGGTCCTTCGGCCAGACGGAAGGAAGCGTGGGTGGTTTATGTTTATTGTAACATCTATTCTGACTTGCCGGTGGAATAGGAACCGGACTGTCGCTCCCCGGAATGGAAAGGAGCCAGGACCATAAGGCCCTGTTTAAAAAAAAAAAAAAAAAAAAAAAAAAAAAAAAAAAAAAAAGAAACACACACTTAGACCCTCAAGACTTCAAGAAATTGCAATGCAGAACATGCATGTCGCGCAGTACTCAAGAAAAAAGCGCGGTTTTCTCAGCAGTTCTCTGAGCGTACTCCTCCACTACCTGGATGGATACGACTTCAATTATGGCCCATCCTGAATTTATCTGACCGCAATTACATCCCGAGATCAGTCAAAAAAGAAGCCTGAGTATCCCCTCAGTCTTCAAGCCCTGCTGTTCGTTAGAACATAGACCCCCACAGTTCTCAGTCTGACGTCTCAGATTCTGAGCGCCGAGACTGACAGGTTTTTGCAGCATTGCATTGCTGTAAAAGAGGGATGGTGGAGTAAGGGGTGACAGCCTAAGCAGAGCAGAGGAGGAAGGAAACGGATGACAAGGAGCGACAAAGACAGAGTTCGGAGTGTGGAATAGAGATAACAGAGTACAGAAAGGACAGACAAGGAGGAGCGCGAGTAAGTGTGACCTACCTTCTTTCCCCCGAATACAACGTACGGTCATCATAGCGGTATTTAGACTGAAAGATACCCCAAATACAGCTATAATGACCATACGTTGCATTCGGGGGAAGAAGGTAGGGAACAGAGTCGACAGGAAAGGTAGGGATAAGATGGACGATGACATGGAAGACAAAGCCGAGGATTCTAGGATGCTGATGGCATGTGCTTCAACAGTCACATGAGGCCAGCGCTCAAGAACGTACGGCAGCTTCCATTTTCCCCTCCATCGTCCAATCAATGCTGTGAGTTCTCTGATGATGACTATGTTATTACTATCTATACCCACTTTCCCCCCTTATCATTTGATCCTCCCTTTCCATTGATTAGTGGTTTTGCACCAGCATGCCGTTGGCCCCTGTGTGGCCACCACGCAATGCCTGCCAATGGTGTCATAACATCACGTTGTGCTCTTCTCAACGTTTGACGCAGGGCTACGTTGGCGCAGTATTCCGTGATGGGATGCACACATTGCACACAGATGATCGGCACGCATCTTCTGGCAGGGACTATAGAGGGTGTGGCATGCTGCTAGGGGCACGAGGTTGATCATCACACACAGCTGGAGATAGGACGAGAGTACGGCACACAACACGTGTCTGCATGTTTATTATATGTTTCTTTTTTTTTTTTTAATGGGGAACAAAAGAGAACACCAGACAGCAGTTCTCAATCTCAATACTCATACGTAGCCATTAACATCCAGTCTCTTCACAATCACCAACAACTGGGTTTACTCATTGGCACAACAGTAGTGGCCACACCCAGAAAAGCGATGCAACCAAACCAAATGTGTGGATGGCGCCATTGGCAGTGGCGACATTCTGGGAGGTGAGGATGGGGAGATGGTCCACAATTCCTACACTCTGCTCACAACCTTGTTGAAACCACATTGTCCGGCCTGGGTTACTAACCTGTCATCAAGCCAGGATGTGAATGGCCTGCTGTGCTGTGATGGTCCACAAAATGACTGATATGTCGGTGTCATGTTGACTCGAAAGAATCAGCAGCAGCACAAAATGACTGATATGTCGGTGTCATGTTGACTCGAAAGAATCAGCAGCAGCACGAGCGGCAGGAGGGGGAAGGGGACGGGGGGGCGGAGGAGGAGGAGGAGGAGGAGGAGGAGGAGGAAGACGAAGAAGAGGAAGAGGAGGAAGAGGAAGAGGAAGAGGAAGAAGAAGATGAAGAAGAAGAAGAAGAAGAAGATGAAGAAGAAGAAGAAGAAGAAGGAGAAGGAGAAGGAGGAGGAGGAAGAAGAAGAAGAAGAAGAAGAAGAAGAAGAAGAAGAAGAAGAAGAAGAAGAGGAAGAGGAAGAGGACGAAGACGAAGACGAAGCGAAGACGAAGAAGAAGAAGAAGAAGAGGGAGGGAGGGAGGGAGGACAGAGGAGTGAAAGGATGCAGGACCAGAAGGACAGCGGGATAGGGGAGCAGAGAGACTGAGGAACAGAGAAGAGAAAATGAAGAGAATGAAGGAAGTGGGCAAAGGAAGCAAGGCAGTGGGTAGAATTGGCACTTGCCAAGAAGAAGTATTATTCAGATCAGCAAAACAGATCTCTGATTCTCTGAAACTTTTACATGGCATCTGTCCCCCAAAATTCTCTTACCATTGCGGCATTGCCACATGGATACAGCTGTCAACGAGGGGGGAAATAATGAAATTAACTCCAACCTGGTTATTGCCTTAAATCAAAAGGTAAATTAACGAATGGAATTTCAATTATCTTGCACCCGATCAGGAGCAGCAACCACCAAATGAAGAAAATAGCACAAATCACAACTGTCATGATGTTCAAAACTGCACACATCAAGAAAACGCCACGACACAGAGAAGATGAAGAAAAATATTAGCTTTCTTTTTGTCTTATGATTTTATTTCTGTTCTTCTTTGTTGTTGTTGTCGGGGATGGGGGGTGGGGGGGTGGGGGGGGGTGCGGTCCTGTAGTGATACTCTCCACAATAGCATAAAAATGTGCACCATAATTCCCATGAAAAATAACAAAGAACAATAAGTAAAACGTTCACAAAAGGGCAAAAGGGTAGGCTACCCCTATAAGGATTGAAGAGTAAATGCAAGGAGGAGAGGAATAAAAGTATCGACGGTTGTTGGTGGTTTGGATTTTCTCATCCAAGTGACTACGCTTAGGTGTGAGATTTGCGGCCTGAGAGGCTGCTAGAATGACCCCCCTCTCACCTTGCCCTCCCCAGGGCCCTTCTGCTGGGTGCTGCAAGTAAGCTTCCCGGCCAGCAGAATCTCCCTAGGAAGGCAATGGGTTTGGTGGGGGAGGGGGCGTGGTAGCAGCACCCCCCTTGAGTAGGTGACTGGTACCGCAAGGGTTGGGCTGACTCTTTTTCAATTCCGATCTTCGGTTCTTTTTCCTTGTACTCATGCTTGCCGGTGATAAGCAACCGCACTGACGCCCCCCAGAATAGAAGGGGCATGGGTGATTGAAAAAAAAAAAAAACGTTCACAAAAGGAACTAAAATTTAAAAACAGGGTACCCCATGGCGAGAACGACATAACTTGCAGTTGTTGATTCCAAAGCATGCAACAATATTAGGAGCTAACCAACAACCCAAAAAAAAAAAAAAACATGATGCTGGAGTTACAGTCACTCCAAGATCAGAGACAGACAGACGGAGGGAGAGACAGACAGACAGATAGACAGAGGGAGGAATGGAAGGACAGATCGGCAGACAAACCAACAGACAGAGCGACGGATGGATAGACAGGTCGACGGACGGACGAGCAGACAGACCAACGTACACACTGACGGATGGACCGACGGACAGACTGACGGACAAACGGATGGACGGACAGACGGAGCGACCGACAGACTGACAGGCGAATGGATGGATGGACGGGCAGATAGACAGACAGACTGTGGCATGCACACGCCTCCCACATTGGGCCCAGCCTCCGATTTTAGGCCCCCAGGCCGCGTAACCCTCATCACCGGTCAGAGTAAAATGCCAAGATCAGAGACAGACAGACGGACGGAGAGGCAGACAGACAGATAGACAGAGGGAGGAACGGAAGGACAGATCGACGGACAAACCAACAGACAGAGCGACGGATGGATGGACGGGTCGACAGACGGACGAGCAGACCGACCAACGTACACACCGACGGATGGACCGACGGACAGACTGACGGACAAAGCGATGGACGGACAGACGGAGCGACTGACGGACTGACAGGCGAACGGACGGATGGACGGACAGATAGACGGACAGACTGTGGCATGCACACGCCTCCCACATGGGGCCCAGCCTCCGATTTTAGGCCCCCAGGCCGCATTTTTTACTATGCTATTATCTTCTCTCATTATTGTATCCCTCACTACCTACCCTGGGCAAGCAAGGGACCATCCACCCCCCCAGGCAAGCCAGGCAAGCCTGGAACTTAATTAACCCTATCAGACAGGCAACCACTCAGAACCCGATATCAACTAGAAGGTCCAAGGTTTTAGGGCCAGGAGAGGGCCAGGAGATATTTATTCTAATATGTTATATATTACTCTAATATTTATTTAATTGTCGTAAAATTCAATGATAATTGAAGGAACAAACCAACCATCTCAGACTGGGAGGAAGGACGAAACTTAAACTCACTAGCCAGAGCAAAGCTATCCTAAGGTTATGCGTCTCCGCCTACCCTATCTCTGCTCTGTGAGGGGAGCAGCGCCCAGGATCCTAACACCTGGCATGGGCTGGAAAGAACGACTTCCTTCCACAACCAGCCGGGAGGCCCAAGCCAACAGCCTCCACTGGTGAACCCGAAGCATACCCCCAGGAGGTCGCGGGGATCGAAAGGAAGACATGGGGTATCAAACCCGCGACCTCCTGAGTGCCACTTATGCAATCAGACTCGCTTTCTTTCACAACTCACATGCATGTAAACAAGTGGCACAGCAAACTGGCCACAAGCGCCCACTCAGAACTCAGAGATATGGTAACCAAGAACGCAGTTCAGGTACAAGCTCGCTTCAAATGGCTATGGCGCAACAGCGCCTGTACAACTCTCTGTCCGTCGCCAACCCAACTCTGCTGTTCACACACACACAGGATCACCCTGGATATCCCACACGCATCACACTGTACACACACGCACACACACACGCTACACTCATCTATCACCTATGGCGGCTATGGCCGCTACTACCCCTATCGCTATGGCTAAGCTCTCCTTCTCGCCCACTTCGTCTTCGGGCTCACTGCAGACCACCTCGCACAAGTCGCTGTGGGAGCGCTTCCGCATGGCTTACGCAGGAATGAATGAATGAACGGGCGCTGCCTCTTGATTTATACTTCWGTAGCTCGTTGGTCTGCCCCTTTCCCATCCCCCTGGTGCAAACAGTCCCACACGGTACTTGCTTGACTGGACTCTGACTGACTGCGACCGGTACCGCAGACTGCATTGGTTTGCTCTGCCAACTCAATGCAGTCGCACTGCCGACGTACCGCGGTTGGGCTCACCACTTGCCCACTTGCCTCTGTCTAAACGTGAGCCATACTTCGAAAGGCCACCACTAAGACCTTCCGGAAGGCTGCAGACTTGGCCTTTCGAACACTGTAGCAGCTACGACCTTGACCTTTAAGGACTGCAGCAGCTACGGCCTTGACTTCTCAGGACACCTACAGCTACGACCTCTAGGCCTCACTAAGACCTCTATCCAATAGGTCTACGGATCGAACCCCTACCACCTACAGACGTACAACAGTCTACCAACTGTTACAACTACACAGGTCACAGGTTCAACTCTCGAGGTCGACGCAGGTAATGTACACAGGTAAGGTAAAGTCTAGGGATCGAGCCCTGGGATCTGCATTCGCTACTGCTAGCAGGTGAATACCGTTTCACTTACATGCTCAACCAACTGAGCTAGCCCGCTTGGCCCGTCTTTTTTTTCTCTTTTTCTGTTTTAAACAAAAACACGAGCTTTATATATTACAAAAAATGATTGAGGTCGAGGTCCTCACAATTCAACCCCGGTTTGTCCTGGGACCATTACCCCCTATTTTCATGTACTTCATTTCTTTTCTGAGATTTTTTGTCTCTTCCGATCTTGTTTGGGTTACGACTGTCATTTCAGAGTAGTTTGTCTGTTCCTGCATTTGTCCGGTCACAACATAGGCTTTAAATCAGTGCTGGTCCCCGGATGGACCGGGGGACCTGCGACCGACCGGGAGCCAACCGGTCCGACCGGGCGGTTCACTGGGCCGGCAGGCCCCCGGTTCGATCGGGCGCACGAATTTTGGGGGGCGGTACGGGGGATTTTTGGGCGTCCCCGTCCCCGCCCAGCCTCTCAGAGGCCGCCGCCAGCAGGGGAAAAAAAAAGCGGGCCCTACCGGACCCCATTTTCGTTTGAAAACGCGCGGCCAATCTCCGCCGCCGATCGGCGCAGATCGACGGTGGAAATCGGCGCGTTTGCAAACGAAAACGGGGTCCGGTAGGCCCCCGTTTTCAAATTTGAAAACGCGCCCGATTTCGGCCGCATATCTGCGGATCTGCAGCCGAAATCGGTCGCGTTTTGATATCTTTACCGGTCCAGTGGCCTGCCTCTGCCCCTCCGCCCCGCCTGCCCCATGCTACAGCAAGAAACACATGACGTTGACATCGCGCCTTTCTGCATGCGCGTCGACGTCGTGTGCTGCCACCACGCAACAAGCACCAGCGCCCCGTCTCGAGCCCGCCACCGACCTCTCTCTGCAGCTGCTTCGCCCCGCCATCCCGCTTCGTTGCAACCGCCCCCCATAGCCGCGAAGGTAAGTCCACCAGCGCCCCTCCTCCTCCTCTTCTTCTTCTTCTTCTTCTTCTTCTTCTTCTTCTTCTTCTTCTTCTTCTTCTTCTTCTTCTCCTCCTCCTCCTCCTCCTCCTCTTCTTCGTCTTCTTCTTCTCCTCCTCCTCCTCCTCCTCCTTCCTCCTCTTCT